GAGCCGAGCCGAGCCGAGCCGAGCCGAGCCGGCCTGAAGGGATCCAAGCGCAGCCGCCGCTATGCCCAAGGCGCGGGCAGGGAAGCGGCCGGAGCGCCGGGAGGGCCGCGCCGGCGGTGAGTGTGGAGCGGCCTGGGCCGGGCGGGCGGGCAGGATCCCGGGAACCGATGGCGGGCCGGCGCTCGCACCCCAGGGGGGTCTGCGGGGTGCCGGCGGAACGCGGCTGCCCGCGGTAACACGCCGGTCTCTGCCCTAGGCATTCTCTTCAACACCGGGGCCGGGCAGCACATCCTGAAGAACCCTCTCGTGGTGAACAGCATCATCGATAAGGTGGGAGCGGCGGCGGCCTGGGCAGCCGCAGCTGGCAGGACGGGCCGGGAAAGCGCGGCCCCGCGCCTGGCTCGGGCCGTCCCCGGGCTGCGGGGGAGCCGCTGCTGACCCGCGGCCAGGGCCACCGTGTGCCGCCCGTGTGTGTGCGTGTGTGTGCGGTGGCTTTTGCGTTTGTTTTTCTCCTAACGTGCCTGCACGCTGGTTCTTCACGCAGAGCGAGCGATGCCGTATAAACCACGCCAGGACATTCTTGTTCTCCCCGTTTCCCACTCGTTCCTTTCTAAACGACTCTCACAGGCCCTTGATATCCAGTTCCAACTTTTTACTGTGTAAAAAGGCGCTTACTTTCATTCTAAAGTTAAATGATTGCACGAAATCCGTGCTCGTTAAACACTCGAACTGCTGATTGTCCTTAGGCTGCCCTGCGCCGCACGGATGTCGTTCTGGAAGTGGGCCCGGGAACTGGGAACCTGACAGTAAAGATGCTGGAGAAAGTCAAAAAAGTAAGTGCAAATTCTCTTGCATTCATCCCCTTCCCAAGCTCTGACGACGCTGTGGCTTAGACTATGTCAAACCGAAGGGTCTTCATAGGTGTGATGCACATAAGTAAAATTACCCCATTAATATTTTTCTTAACGTTTGAATAATCCCAATTGGTTTTTAGCTGATCACGTAAATTTCGTGTGGTTTTATCAAACTACATTGCCGTTATCCATTTATGTGGTAAAGTTTGTGCGTATTTGGAGAGGGAGGAAGGTACATAGCCTAATAGGGATTTTAAAGGATTCGTTAAACCCATAGCAACAGATACAGGTTAAAACAGATACAGATATTAAATTCTAGTTAGGAGTTGCATGGAGTTACAAATACATACTTTTTTTTTCAGGTTATTGCATGTGAAATTGACCCTAGACTTGTTGGTGAGCTTCAGAAGAGAGTCCAGGGCACGTAAGTATCAATAATGGAAAGAGGGAGCACTTAAAACAGTAGAGCTACTTTGGTACAAATTTTGGCAGCGTGCTTATCTGAGGATAACCACAATGTATCTTTTCCCCCAGGTGTCTAGCAAATAAACTTGAAATCAAGGTTGGAGACATCTTGAAAACAGACTTACCATTCTTTGATGCATGTGTAGCTAACTTGCCTTACCAGGTACGGGCCAAACAACATACCATACAACAACATAAAAAAAATATTTTTAAATGCTAATTTCCCAGAAATTATACTAACATTATTAATTTTTTTCCTCAGATTTCTTCACCTTTTGTTTTCAAATTATTGCTTCATAGACCTTTTTTCAGGTATGTGGAAGAATAGAGCTCTGTATTACCTGGGAGGAAGGAAAATAGTTTTAAAAATATTTTCAAATCCAATATTTTTTTAGTTCCTAAAATAGCAGTTTGATGGATCAGATCTGCACTAAAATTTTTCTTTATATACATAAATACATAGCCTGACAGTGCCTGGAAATTAAGTTAATGTTGATGTATTGAGGAGAAAATTTAAACTTGGCAACAGTGAGTGCCCAGCAGATAAAAACAGGAGCTCCTCAGTATTACAACTAAGTGTTGTTCCAGGGATAAGCAGGGCATCATAGCGTTTCAAATACCTTCCTACCTAAGTTAGGCTGGAAAGCGTAGAATCAATGCAAAATCACTTTCTTGTTTGATCTAAAAATGTAACTGGCCTGTCTGTGTGTCAGACATTAGTATGTCAGCAGCTTTAGATTTCTCTCAGAGCAACGTTGGTAGTGTTACTGGTCAATTTTTGGAAAGCTTGGATTTGAAAGACTCAGCATAGAGTTATCCAAAATGATTTATTACAGTCAGGCAACAGAGACTAGACTGTCTCTTTGATCCTGATCCATTAAGCAGTATAAATAATCAAATTATGTAACAGCTTTAAGGGGACTTAGATAGCTTCACCAAGTTCTATGATGGGTTTTGGGGTTTTTTCAACACACTAATCAAGTCAGAGTTGTTTATTACTTCTTCTAAGTGCTGAGGCAAACTGTGTGTTTTCCAAATGTGTAAGTTGGCTTCTGACATAAAAATTGATTACTTAGAATTGATTTTCTCATTTCTTTTACTCTCAGGTGTGCGATCCTTATGTTCCAAAGGGAATTTGCACTTCGTTTGGTTGCAACACCAGGAAGTAAACTGTACTGCAGACTGTCTATTAATACCCAGTTATTGGCTCGAGTGGACCATCTGATGAAGGTACGTTATTCTGCATTTAGGAAACTCAGCTAGCGAGCACAGAAGAAGAGTGTTGCAAGGGATGTGAGGAATTTGCTGCTGATTCACACAGATCCTTGACTGCTCTTAACTAATAGGTTGGAAAGAACAACTTCAGGCCTCCTCCCAAAGTCGAATCCAGTGTTGTCAGAATAGAGCCAAAAAACCCACCACCACCTATCAACTTCCAGGTGAGCAGTGTATACTCAGCATAACATACTAGTGATAGTACTTAATTTCGTTTTTCTTTCTACTTACTACTCAATTCCATGTGCTGATTCTAGTAAAAACTACCAGCTATTCATTGGAGTTTCCAAAATGCCTATTTCTCTGTTGATCAGGCTTGTGTTAGGACAGTAATACAAGTATCTGTCTTCCCTGCATGTAATGGCACCTAGGCACGAAAAAGTACAGTTTAAAGGGTTTTGGGGGTGAAGTATTTTGTCCTCCATTTGTATTGCTTTGTCCAAGACACAACTGGTTTTGTGTTGTTCAGAAAGACATTTTCATAAAGGATTTTCTTTTGTGTTCAGTATTGTTCTGAAGTTGTCAGTAGTGTCTGTTCTTGATTATAATAGCTGTATGTTACTTTCTAAAATTCTGAAACTTTTAATTTCAGGAGTGGGATGGTCTGGTAAGGATAGCCTTTGTTAGGAAAAACAAGACACTCTCTGCAGCATTTAAGTAAGTAACTTCTATCGAAGGAAATCTTTTTGAATTTGAAAGCTTATCCAGTTAACCATTTCTATTGTGCAAATGCCCAGAATTTCTTCAGTGTAAATGCATAGCAGTGTTACATAGTCAGTGATAAACCATGCAGGAAGATTTATACTGATGTCACAAACTTTTTTTTTTCAGAAGAAAACTACGCAGCTGTTTAAAAAGAACAGTTCTGTGTAACTGTTACAGTTTTTTGTAGTAGACATTAACAACCAATCAAGTGAACATTAGTTACAGCTCAGTTTTCATGCTAAATGTGTATTTGTTTCAGATCAAGTGCTGTAGAGCAGTTGCTGGATCATAATTACCGAATTCATTGTTCCTTACATAATACAGTAAGTTTCTTCTTAATCTATTACATTTTATTTCTATGTACTTTGACCTACATACTTACTTTTATAAGAGTAAAAAATTAACACTGAAAAGCTTAATGTGTCAAAGATTTTCCAAAAGGAAAGGAAAGGAAAGATGGGAGTAACTTGCCTCTTTTCTTAGAGAAAAATCTAAAAATTAAATCTTTGTAAAAATGCTTAAAATGAAGTATATTTTACAATATTGTCCGTATATGTATGTCTCTAGGTCTTTTACTAATTTAATAAAACATTTAATGTCTGCTTTTCAATACTGTTGTAATTCATATATAATGAATGAACTGAGATACAAAAATTCAGCTACAATCGAATAATGGAATAATCCATAATAGAAAAGGTATAACTTACTTTCTATCACTTGAAACAAGAACTGTTCTAAGAGCAGGAAAGAATTAGATTATTTAAATGAACCTTTTTCTGTGTTATGAGTAGAAAATAATTCCTATCCCATTTTTCATTGACAGGAAATCCCTGAAAACTTCAAAATTGCAGAGAAAATACAGACAGTTCTAAAAGATACAGGTTACTCTGAAAAACGAGCCCGCTCAATGGATATAGATGATTTCATTCGGTATTTTTTTTTTCCTCTTTATGCCTTCCTTTTAAGCTTCTTTAAATTCTATCTGCATCTGTACCTGCATAGCAGATTCGTATTGGGTGGCACAGGAATAGCAGGATTTCCCTCTCAGTACCTGACACTCCTTGCTTCCAGTCCTGAACATGAGCAAACACTTAAGGCCTATTTATATATTTTAAATGCTGTTTATAATATTGAGGAGCAATTAGCTAAATATCCCGATTTCAGGTGTTTGTGTACTAGACCCTTCTGTGTCTTCTTTAAAAATGGTCATAGTGTAAACTGGTTATTCAAATTTCCCTGGAGTCTTACACAGTCTTTCTCTGCCTTGAGGATTAGGCTGTAGCATAATTTTAAATGTGAATAATTAACTGCTGTATTCGGCTCTTACTTCCGGTGGCATCACGAATGCCCTTGTAATTCAAGGTAAAATTTCCTAGCTGTTTCTCATTTGGAGAACTAAAACAGGTAATGCTCTCTGAAGGAACACAGTGAACCTAGTAGGATGCAACATAAGTAACTCCATTGAAAATAAACCTGCATCTCTAAAATGGCAAATATGCTAATAATTTCTTGTGTTGGATTTGTAAAAATTCTGCCTTTGCAGTTTATCAGTGATGGCTGCTTTCATGCTATTTTCTTTGCACATCTTAAAAGTGCCTCAAGCTGAAGTTTGAATTGCTAGAATTGTAATATTCTAATTTCACTCTTTCAGATTGCTACATGGCTTCAATTCAGAAGGAATCCATTTTTCATAGATACTCCTAGAAAGATGCTGTATGTTTTTCACCAAAGTTTTACCCAAGCCCGAGTGAGTGGAATGGGACAAGCTCCTCATGAAAGCAACAAACGGAATACAGCATATATGCTTGGACTCAAAATGTTAGATGTGGTTTTATCACAGACAATAGGCAAGAAGCTACTGCTCACTATTTTAAAAGCAGTAAATTCTTTCAGAGCTGAAGTGAGGTGCTGGACTACCTCATGACTGTTTTTCTATATATATATCCAAACATAGATTGATGGTAATTGAAATCTGTGTTCTCTGATGATGGACTTCACCTTAGTATATTCATGCACAATACTCAACAGTACAACCCCTAAGGGGTCTGGACAACAACAAGGAAGTTGAAGTAATTCATTTTTTTAGGTATCAATCGTTTGTGTCTTTGTTTTAAACTGTATTTAAACACTTCCTTGAGATGCCTGTCTCTGTCATCCCTCTGGTAACTACCAGCACTCCAAGCCTGTTAGTAATCTGCTTCGCTTAGAGACTCCCAGTGAGTGTTCCTCAGAAAACAAAAGAATTTACCTTGTGGGCTTGATATCAGTTAGAGAATTGTCTTTACCCTCTCCTCCACTCTAGGAACTGGGAAAAACTACCAATGGGCCAGGCTCATAAACACAGACAGCAGGGTTGGGTTTTTTGTTAACTAAATTAAGGTAACTACTTCATTGTTAAGGCAGAGAAAAGTTTTAGCACAGATCGTAACTTTCAGTGAGATTTAGAGCAATGCATGCAAATTAGCAAAATCTGCTCTAAGAAGAACTTTATTTATACACATTATTGATTCATTAAGGTTAGAAAGGATGTCCTGAGTCCAGCTAGCAGCCCATGACATGCTGTTGGTTTTTTAAAAGTCATTGATTCAGAAGAATAAAAATAGGCACTCAAATTTACAGGCATCCTGAAGCATTGACTTCAAAAACTGAATTCCACAATTTAATAATTCAGTAATTCTAGTGCTGCTTCAATTCATGCAGAATCAAATTATGAGTTAGGTAAATGGCCACAAGGAGTATGGTTGGACTAATATAGAAGGAACACGTGCTGAAGATCTGTGTCACACTTCCTTAATACTTTTGTTTTACTGGAGAGGAATAGAGGATAAGCTTGTTCGAATCCTGTTCAAGTAATTTCAGTCCGTTCTGGCAATGGGCTGCAGAAATTCAAGTGCCATAACCAGCCTTACCAATTTTTCTTGATTCTAACTTCTTCAGTATCAGTGTAGATCTGACTTAAAGCAGGCTCTGGCACAATGGCAATAGACACAGTTTCAGTTTGCATGTGCTACTTGACAGGACACGTTTAATTTACAGGGCTATGTAAAAAGGTGCTGAAAGCTGACTGTCCTTTCTGAACCCACAGTAAGCCACAGCCTGGTTGAGGTGCTAGGCTTGCATGGACAAATAGTATGGAATGTTACTCCTGTAGGATGCCTGTCTTCAGAAACTTTTTAGAAAGTAAGAATTATCTAGAGCAGCTTCAGAGAAAATCTCTGATATTATATGATAACCTGTACTTATCACCTGCTACCAGAAGCTATTGCCTTCCATTCCATCAGTTTTTTTCTTTTAGCTGTGATGGGTGATGATCTCAAATCAATGCTCAGAAAGAGGTGTGATTTTTTTTTAAATCTGTAAAACTAAAGTCAGGGCAGTGGTCTGGGGACTTCTTTCTATACAACAAACTTGTACAGAAGAGTTGACTTTATTTTGAAATCAGAGGCCTTTTCAAAAATGTAACTGATATGCTTATAAATTAAAGCCCTTCCCAAAGCGTAACAGAAACTCTCAGATGTAATTCATTTAATAGCTTAATTTATTAAACACATTATGTAAAATCTACATTGTTTCAGTTTTCATGTTTACACACAGGAGGATTTTTTATTTTTAACCATGATGCGACAAGAGCTTCCCATAGCCTACCTTTCTATGGGAGATACAAACATTAAACACTACAAGAAGTTCTGGCTCATTTATCTCTCTTTTCATTGCCTTCCCTTTATTCCCCTCCTCCAGGCCTGGCACAAACAAACAGGCTTGTATTCCAAAAGTAATCTTTAGACATTTCCAAGGGAAAGTCTGCTCATACAAACTCCTGGAAAGAGGGAGAACTGCTAGAGAGGTCTACAGTTCTTCATTTGACAAGAAGTTCTTACATGAAAGGTCAATCTTTTTTGGATATTGACTTGCAAAAATAACTTGAGTGCCACCACCTAAAAAGTGCTGATACGCATGGCGCCATTTGTGAGAATTCAGGTATTTGTGGGATTTCTATTAGCGCTAGGTAGAGGTATTGTGCAAAATCGTCAAATGATGCAATTTCACCCCACTTTTCAGCTGCTGGCACTGTACAAAGGGAAAAATAGGTATTAGCTACTTCTTAAAGCAACAGAACTACTCAAGCTACCTGCAAACTACGGTTAATGTACATGTAACTTTGTCATGCATCAAAATCCAAGTTTTTAAAACAGTATGTGAAAGGCCAGTATGGACATATTTATCCCCAAAGTTTGATAGTTAACTTATCCATACATAGCATTATCACACCATACCACATATCATATTATCTGCATTATCCTAAGATACAACTCTCCTCAGTACTTAAAACATTACCCTTTAATATATATCAACTAATTTATATTTTTGTGGGTTTTTTTGATTTGTTGGTTTTTTTTGGTTTTTTTTTAAAATTGTTACAGATGTTAAAATTATATAACCATTCTTTATGGTATTCAAATAAATCAAAATTCCAGATTTTTACAAGAAAAATGGAATGTCCAGCTGTTCATCCACTCTTAAAAGCCTGCAGTTCCTCTTAAAATGATATGGCACATCCTGTGAAATGAAACTAGCCACCAAAAAATAAGTCTTCTGGAAACACATCAAGAATGTACACACACTAAAGTAATTTATATTGACAAATAAGGAATGTATTTTTTAGGCTGTGCTTCAGAAAGAGGATATTTAGGGTTAAGTAGCCTTCCTCAAGGCACAGAATGGGAAGAGTTAAGCACAGCTGTCTGTGGAAGAGAAGTTACATAAAACCACTAGTGAAGTGTGCATGCACGCCACAAAACTGCACAGCTGGTCTTTGTTGTAAAACTGAACATGGTCAGAAGGAAATGCTGTGACTTTTTAATGGCCACAGTTTTACCTTATTAAAAATATGGCAAGTATTTCCAAACATTTCACTATTTGAATAAATGAAATATTTAAAACAAAGTGCTTCACAGATCTGAACCCTGCATGGTTGTGCTGTCTGGTCTAGAAGCATTTTGTAGACATCATAGGAGCATTTCACAAAAAACTGAAAATGTCATTCAGGTGAATAAGAAACAGGACATTTCCACAAACATTTCTAACATTTTTACACTTTCAAGTAGATGAGTTCTCTCGGTCACTAGGTTTTGTAACAAATGTGTGCTACAGCAGTACAGGTTCGTTAATTCCTTTAGCAGCAGAGGCCCTTTTCAAAGGGCACGTGGTCTTTTCGGGTTGATCTGTTTACTGGCCTGTTCCTCTTCTTGTAGAGCTGCCCGGAAAGATTTCACTTTGTCTTTAAGATAAAAAAAAAGGTAAAAAAGAATGAGTACTGTTGTGCCTGTGCTCAAAAGATCTTGAAACTAAGCCCTGATCCTCCACATTCCAGTACCCTAACAAACAACACAGAACATTCCTCCACAAAAATAGCTGACACTACAAACTACAAGAGAATTGAGTTAAGCTTGCATTCAAAACCATACAAACAAATTGCTTAGCAACTTAGTCTCTTCTTGGATACTACCCCCGTCTCTAGGCAGGATAGGTTTGTAAACTGCACAATTGTATTTCCAGCATGTTCACACTTCATTCTCCTTCTGTCTTAAGAGAGTCTAGGGAGATAGAGACCACCTATATCCTCTTCCTTCCCAGCACCTTCCAAACCACTCTTAGGGACATACAAAATCATATTTAGTGTACAGTCTGCCATTTCTGTACATTCTAAAACCCGGAAGAGTAAATTCTAGTCCCCTCTGATTTCTTATGAATAGCAAAACATTTTTGAGTAAGTTTTGAAGCTTACTCACTGTAAATATTTAAATGCATTGTTCAGTTTTCATTGTAATTCATTAAGAAGGGGAGAAACCTAAGGAAGTGTGGCATCCTCATTTTTCTGTTCCGGTCTCTTCCATTCCCCAGTAACATGACCAAGAATGGGAAGAAGGAAACCAAGATGACGGCAAAAATGTCAGACCCACAGTGACAGAAGTAAAGGCTGAACGATTCAGTGACCATTATGAGCCACAAGCAGAACACAGATGATACCAAAACAGCATTTTTTACTTCATACGTGTTACCTCCTGTAAAACAGGATTAAGCTGGCTGTAAAGATGCGACATCTCTTAGCATTTTACCTCCAGCAGTCTTTGCAAAATCAGTATCTGCTACGTTTTTGAAGAACAGGTAGTCACCTAAACTGCATTTTTGCACTGCTGGTATCTCAGATTGTCATCTTCTGAAGAGAAAGCCATCATCCATAAAAACAAAAGGGAACTCCAACTCCTAGCAAAAGTGTAACTGTCATGCTCAGGAGGCAAGCAGGCCACATGTCATCTGCCTGTTGTATTCCAAGCAGATACTCAGACTGAGTAAAACGTGAGGTTTTAACTCATAAATGAGTTTTTTAACACAGATCAAGAAAACTGTTCCATCAGCCCCCAAATCCACCCTTGAGCTTTTGCCAGTATAGCAGTATGTGTCCTGGAGTCTAAACAGTTAATGAAAAGGAAAAATATATCTCCAAGATATACCCAAGTGACAAGCTGATTTTAGAAGACAAGTAGAAGAGCTAATTTTGGGCAGTAAGAATTAGCTGCAGTTTGTTTTCAACAGACAGGCTGACAAAATTCAAACAAAGGCTGTTGAAAAAAAAAAAAAAAACAACTAAAATACCCAGAGCTTGATGGCACTCTTAATTAAGCACAGTTTTAAAAATAACAGCAGGCTCCCAGCTACACTACACAACAGCAGGGACTGGGAGTACCTACTACTTTTTCCTTATTGCATGGCCTTTTATTCTTTTTCATACATTTGGCTTGTATTTTCTTACCTTACTTTAGTGTTTTGGAAAAAAAGAAACGTTGCAAGACTGAGTTTCTACTTCCTAGAAGTAAGCATAGGCTCTTCCTTTACGTTAGGATGAACTGATCATAGATGTGAACTTGTTCTTAGACTGCAGAATAAATGTTCCTTCCACTGAAGGCCAGCATGACCAGGGAAAAAAGACCCTAGAATATAACCACTTCTTTTTTCCTCCTTGTTTCCACTGACAGTCTCCATGGCATATGCTAATAATGC